AATTTAACTGTCTCTCTAACTATGACATATTTAATTAAGAAAAACTGTAAGTGCTATCTAGGGATCAAGCAACCAATAATGCCACAGACAGTTAAATATACCAGATGAAGAAAACTGCACCAATTTCACAATAACCATTGTTGGATTATAGTGTAAAATTATGTCATTCTAATGATTATATACATGTATACCACATGTGTGTTATAAAGCTCAAGCAAGAGTTTAAAATGTAGGCATGACACCCATCAGGGGTTGAAAACATTTATTACCTGTTTCTACTGCACATAGCCACAGAGAACTCTGAAACTTGCATGTCAATAGGGCAAGTAAACATACTTAATTGTCTAGACATACAGCTACAGGCCTGGCATTATCTGAGTCAAGATAGAATGTGTGAAAGTTCAGATTTTTCATAGCTTGTGGGTCATGTGACAACACAAAACTGAAGGTTTCTTTCGAAATATAGGAATTAAAGCTTAGATAACACAAGCTTCAAACCATAACATGCATTATAATGTTAATTTCATTCACATACATTGATAGTAAAGTTGTTTAATTAAATTTTGAATGTAACTTGGTGACTTGCACAGAAAAGTGTTTAAAGGGGTAGCTGTCATGAAAGGGTTAAAAGAGATTTAATGTGTAAAGATGAATTATAATCAAAACTAAATCTGAAGACAAGGTTAATGATGCTATGGGGACATACAGAAGAATTACCACAACAAATCTGAAGAAATGCAAAGCATCTAAGAAGTACAGAGAGGCTGTAATGACAAAATATTTTCAGGAACTTCAGACAGAAACCTTAAGGGAATAAGAACTCCAGGATACCAGAAAGAGGAAATTGTTTTACATTTTGAAGCCCTGGCCATTACAGCCAAGACTGTGAAAAATCAATGTGCCATTAAGACACCAAGGAAACAAGACCTCAGAAATTACCTGTTTGAGTCCAACCAGACTGAAGGAACAACAAAGAGCTAACCAGACATTGGGAAACAGGAATTAGCTGGATTAGCTTACAATTGAATGGTGCCAGCAGTTACATAATTTGTTCACAAGATATCAACACCCTCCAGTGGACCTCATGACCGAACATGTAAAATATCACAAGAATGATACTGGAGATGCAGCTCCAATTAGTCAGTTAGCCAGATGACATCAACTTCCAAAACTTGGCTGAGGCTTTCAAAGAGATAGAAGCCACAAAGGAAAGGGCATGATAAAAACCAAGTTTTAACCTTGAGCATTACTTGTTTTATTTGGAAGAAGGATGGATCCACCAGATTATGTGTGGAATACTGGAAAATAAATGAAGTAACAAAGAAGGATGCCTACACACTGCCAAGGATTGACTCTACTTTAAATGTTCTATCTGATTCAATTGGTTTTCAGTGTTGGATGTTGAGAGTGGGTATTGGCAAATGCAAGTCAAAAAAGCAAGAAAAAAGAAGACAGGCCTTTATTGCATGGGATGGATTGTGGCAATTTGTCTTGTTACCATTTGATCAAGTGATGCTCGTGCTACATTCAAACGATTAGTGGAGTGTTTGTCTGAACTACCATGGAACATTCTACTCATAATCACACATGGAAAGCCTTTAATAATGCTTATAGAGGACTAAGAAAGATTCTGGATAAATTGAGGAAAGATAACTTTAAGCTGAATCCAAAGGAGTATCTACAGATCCATCAAAGGCCTGGCCAACAGCAAAGAACTTGTATGAAGGAAGAGAATTTCTCGGACTATATCTTACTATTTTTGTTTCGTAAAATCCTTCTCTCACACTGCTGATTGTGAATAAACATTTGATAAACTGAAGAAGGAACTGACCACTATTACATGGACATACCCAACTCTGGAAGACACCTATTTTGGATACAAATGCAAGTGATTTTACAGTGGGAGCATTTTTTTTATTTTTTACAAGTGTAACATGGAAAGTAATGTGATGGCTTATTATAGCAAGGCAAGAAATGCTACAGAGAGGAGCTATAGTACAACTCAAAGAACTACTAAGTTTTATTCAAGACCTAAGTCACTTCCATCATTATCAACAAAAGTTTATGCATCTGACAGATAGATCAACATTGAAGTGACTGGTGAATTTTAACAACCCAAATGGCCAATTTACAAGATGGCACCAGAAATTTCAGGAGTATGATTTTAACATTGTACATCATACTGAATAGAATCATAGAAAAGCTGATACAGTATCCCAAAACCATGTGTTAATGAAGAGTGTAAACACAGTGATAAGAGGGAAGCACAGGATAGAAAGATCTACCTACCTAAAGTACAGCAAAGTATAGTCAAATGTGTGGCATCTACAAGTTATAGATGAACTGATTTAAACAAACATTCAACTGGAAGCTCTCAGGCAAAAGACAAAATTGAAACCAATTATAAGTATTCAGTGGTTCAAAAATTGTATAGAAATACCCTCATGGCAAATGGTCACTCCATACAGCCCAAAAACAAATATGTATTGGTCACAGTGGAATTCCTTATGTCTACAACACGGCTTATTGTTTTGGAAATGGGATAATACCATTAGATCGAAACAACAACTGCAGTTGGTACTTGTGCAGCCAATACATTGTAAAGCCCTCCGTCACCACAACCTTCCAATGGCACGACACTTGGGTGTTAGGAAGACAATGGGCTGGGTAAGAGTGCAGGGGTTCTGTGGAGAATTGATGTAAAACATGAACTCTGCTGCTAGAAAAATGGTGTACAAAGAAATGGCATAGGCAGCTACAACAATACTATGTTGGAGAACCATTTGAAGGGATTACTGTTAATATGTTAGGTCCTCTGCCACAGAATAACAGTGAGAATAGATACATTATGTCTTCGATGGACTAATTCATCAAATGTTAAGATAAAATGTTGTTCTTAACCAAGAAGTAGAAACTCATCAACTAATTTGTTTCAAAACAAAGTGTGCTTATAGAGTTTCACTCAGATCAGGGATGGAACTCGGAAGTGTCAGATCCTTAGGATTAAAAAACAGGAAAGCAACCCTTCATCTATTTTCAGCTAACATGGTGGAGAGATGCAACTGCACACTGTGAAATAAGTGGTAACTCAACCTGATGAAGAGCCCAGAGTTCCTGTCAAGACTACTCCCATAGTATCATGAAGTATAGAGATGACAATGGATTTACTCTTATCACCTACCCAGTGATAGGACAGCCAATGACAACAAAGGACAAAATGCCATTCCATCTGTATGCCATGGGTGTTGGAAGAGATACCCACCAACAAAGATTTGATAAATAGACAGTTCAGCATAGTTTTATTTTTTGAATTAGGATTTTTTAAGGGACTTCACAATCCTCTTATGCCTCAAAAGTGCCATTTTTTCTTAGTAATAAGAAATGTTCCATGGTACTAAAGAAGTGCCTGATTCCACTCCTTGCTTGCTGTAAGTTAGGTAAAAGATTTTGACTTTAAAATTAATGAAACATAGGAATTTGTAGGCCTTTACAGAAAAAATATAATTGATATGCTATTAATTGTTAATATACAAGAATTTATTGTCTAGTTTTAGATTTTAAAAGTGTTTATAACACAGACTAAGAAGGAATAAAAGAGGATCTGTATGCTTCTTATGGCTTTCTATCGCTCCATAGTCTCCTCACATCCCCCCCAAAACATTTTATCTAACAATGATTTAAAATTTTTGTCAATGAGTCCCTGCCCTTTTAATATCCACTGTATGTTACTGCTTATGGTTAGTTATAAAGGATTCATTATGTAAAAGAATGATAAGCTTTCAAATATTTTATAATTTACTTCAAAAGGGTTTGGAAGCATTTGTGATATGGGGAGAAGTGAACATAGTTACACTATGCATGGATATTTTGTACCATTGTTTGTCTAAGTTAACATTATTTCTTTCTTGTATGCATATATATATGTTGATTTTTTTTGCATTTTCATTTAGTGTCAGGTTGAGTTTAGCTGTTCCATTGCAACTGTAGAAAAGGGTTTTTTTTACTAAGATTCCAGTAGACATTGTGCCAAACAAGTATAGTGTTACCTATGGAAAAATGTGATTGGGGAAAATGGTTTAAACTTATGGGTGGGAAAGCATTTTGTGATAACTTTCCTGCTTTGTCAGGCAGGTTATACACCCATTTTACCTGTTCCTGGTCACTAATCTCTAACTCTGTTTGAAACTGCCATTTGAATGTATAGCTGTGGTGAGAGAAAGGCTACTGTAATGTAGTTTAAAATAAAAAGTTTAAAGACTGCTTTATAAATACAAACTGTAAGAGAAAGATTATTATAACATTGTTGATGATTTGTGAAGTCTTATTTCTAGAATACTTTATACGATTGTGATTTCTTTTATAAAGAAAGAACCTGTTTTCTCTTGAGCACTAAAGAACTAAATTTAGCAGGGACTTGACTATGGAGTTTTGAAATGATTACAAGCTAAGCCAGAACTGTTTTAACACTTCAAACTACTCAGTGCAAATTTCATACTGATCAGTTATAGGTATATAGATTTATAAATTTCTTGCATTACATAGGGGCCTGCAATGAGAGGGGGCCTGTCGGTGTGCCCTGATTGCACCAATGTTAAATACACCACTGAACTAAGCTAGTGTGTTCATTACTTTTGTGTACACTATTTCATTGTACTTGTATAGTGTGGAGCTCACATTTCATGTTGCATTATATGTAATTAAATTGTAAGTATCCCATAATATGAGAATTTTGAACCATTGGAAAAAGTTCTAGCTTGAGATTTAAAAAACTTAAATGAAATCCTGGCTGTATATTTTGTACCTATTCTGTGCTCATACCAAATGAACTATATACAATATTATTGTGTAATTATATACATCATTTTCTTTTGTCTTTTACAATGACAGAGGAGATAATATGAAAATTTGTTGTTAAGAAGAAAACTAATCTGGATGCATGTAGATTTTACATCTGCTGTTAATTGATTTGAATAATTATTTATCTTCTAATACTTCCTTAGGTTCTTGACAAGGATGGATGGTTCATTACTTCATTTGAATTCCCTGGGTCTCAAATGTATCCACTACCTTCAACAAAGGTGATGTTTATTTTATTTTCTAGCAACTGTATAAGTTAGATTGTCACAAAAAGTTATGATGTTTTATTGCAGGTCAGTTACAAGTAGAATAACCATACTTTACTTGTGTTGACATTAACATGAATAATAAACAAATTCAACTATATCATGATAGAATTTTGAAAATACAAAGAAATGAGTGAAATTTCTGGAAGAGAAAACTAATTTCAGTGTTGTAACTGTGAGAAGAAATAAATTACTAACACCCCTTCAGTCCAGAAAGAGTGATTACAATCCTGAAAATCCCTGGATTATCTTCTATAAATCCCATAATTTGAGGAACCCCTTTACCCAAGAGACATATATTTTCAACATTTTATACAGAAATGTAATAATATTCAGACCAACACATTAAAACATGTAAAGCTTCATTGGGTGACAATTATTCTCTGCATTGAAAAAAATTCTAACTCTTGATATTAAATGCCACGATGTATGTGTATTAATCAAAATACTTAGCTAACATTTATATGTTTTGTAAAAATTGGTATTTATTAGGTATGTTATTTTTTTACATCTAAGGACAATGGTAACAATTTGCTGAGTGTTCTGCGATTGTTTTTTTGTAATTTAGGTTTTAAGTTTTTAAATCTTGAAGAAAATGCATTGAACTTATTCATTTTATAGTGAAATAGTGGAAAGTGAAATACTTGTGTAGACTCTACACTAAATGCAGTTTACTATAGATCAGTAATATTCTTTGAACATGGGCATCCGCAGGATGGGGCAAGAGAGGACATTTGCCCTCCCCTGGAATTTCAGAAGAAAATATACTTGAATAATTTGTTTTAAAAATTTAATAGAAAATAATGCTGTTTAAGTATAAATGATGAAATTAGGTTTACATAAATAAGCCATAATCAGCCAGAGTATCAAATTTAAACTTCAAGGCAAATGGCCTGCTCTCTGTGATGGCTTGCCCCCACTTGGAATAAATTCTGTGGAGACTCGTGTCCTTGAATCTTTTGTGCATTTTTTATGGTGAAAAGAAAAATAGTATATAGAGAATGAAATATGATTTTTTTAAATCATTGTGATTTTATCTGTACTGTATATCATTTTTAAAGCAATTGTTTGGAATTTTACAGGTATAGCAACCTTGAGGAATTGTTTCTCTTTTTTTGTCACATGGGAGATCCACGACATGCCTATGTTATTTATTTTCCTTTAGTCTTTTACTTCAGCCATTCTGTTGGCATAAAAGTGCTTTGGGCTGCTACATTGTCTGAGTGGTTGAATCTAGCACTAAAGTGGTAAGCAGTTAAGTTTTAAATGTATTAAGTCTATACTGAGTTAGTATTTTTCAGAATTTTGTTTGCATAATATAGCCTTCAAACCTATGAAAAATAAAGTGATCAGTAATTCATAACCAGCACTCTCTTCTTTAAGTATTATAGTAGTTTGTTTTTCTTTTGGGTAATTGATAAAATATACAGTGTAGTATATGAACATTATAGCTGTTTTTGTTGATATTTTTTACTTTATTCTCTATTTCATATTGAAATTGTATGACCTGCAAAATCTCTTTCACATAAAAATAGCATTTTCTGTTCCATCTGTACATTAACTGATTGCTGTCCTGCTACTTAATATCTTAATAATTTTCTTCTGTCACTTTGTAATGTCAATTTGCTTTTGAGTAGTTTGTTTTCTCTCTCTCTTTTTTTTAATACTATTTTCCATACTATGCATGGGAGCTTTCTGATTCCTTTAAAGCCTTTTAAATAAGTGTAGTTACACTTTTTTCATGTTTATTCTTTTAATTGGGTTTGTTATTGTTGGTAATAATGCCTAGAAATCTGATCTGACTGATATTTCATAAATTTACCATGTTTTGAGTCATTACAACAATATACATTTTTTGCTTTCAGTAAAGGCATCATTGTTTCAAGTCAGTGTTTTTCGGGGTACAGAAGTACTTTTCACTTTCTTCAACTTTATTTCCATTTTTCCTTCATTATACTGTGATTAATGTTGTATTTTTTATTTTTAACACAGTTGTCAAATGATTTCTTACTGTATGATATGTGTATATCACTGAACTTTCTGTTTGACATAGTCTTCTGTAAGTCACATCAAACATTATTACCTGTGAACACCTGTTGGACAGAGTTCAATAAAAAGGAGTTGTTGGTACATCTAGGCTGTACCAGTCACTAAATAAACTTTTAAAAAAAACTGATATCCTTCCTTTAAATTCATTCATCATCCACATCTGACCCCCCAATGGCACAGTGGTATGTCTGCAGACTTACAACACTAGAAACTGGGCTTCAGTACCTGTGGTGGGTAGAGCACAAATAACCCAATGTGTTGCATTGTGCTTAATTACAAACAAACAAACAAATCCACCACATCTGAAGATAACCTCCTCCAAAGACCAACCAAACTCTTAATAAAGATTACTCCTATTCTCCCAGAATTTTTATTTGTGTTCATAAATGCCCTAAGCTGGTCAAACCTCATATGGTGTTATTGGGATTATAACTGAAAATACTGTTAACAGTAAGAGTACCCAACTGATGAAACAACCTCTGTATAAGTATAAATGTAGAAAAGAATATTTAATAAAGTATACAAATGGTCAAGTTGATTTTTATTTTTGATCTAAGTATGTTGCTTACTCTGATCAGGAGTTACTATTATTTATTATTAAAGATTGATTTCTGATATGATACCTTACCTACTCTCACATAATAGCTTTCCTTGATTTGTGGTGCCCTCTATATGTGCAATTTTTGTTCTCCACTAACCTTGAGGTTCCTACCTAACATCATATTTTTACACGTGGTATAGCTGCATGCAAATGAGCATGCAACAACCTTCCACTAATAGGAGTTCGACATGACACACCCTTCTTACACAGCTGACTCCCTCAATGCACAATCATCACTTCATGATTTGGCTCTTAGGTGTGGTGATTAGTCTTTGTTTTTTTACTCATGAACGTTTCAGAAATAAGTGTTTTTTAAGTAGTAGTACCTACCAAGACGTTGTGGAAGTATTTATTGTTGGATTTTGTTTTCCAACTTTTTCTGCACTTGCAGATTTTGTGGCCCTTTATTTCCTTAATATCAGTAACTCCCATTTTCTCTGGTGTGAGAAAACAAGACTTTGCTCATGCTAGTGTCACACCTACATTGGCATTTGGTTTGTCTTTGTCTGTTAGGCGAAGTGACATATGGCTGATGGTGGAGTAGTTTATGCAACATGTGCCTTCTTCCAATTTGGTATCTTACCTCCTCGTTGTAGCTATTCTTGTTCAGTGCTGCCTTCTAATATGCAAAAAAAAAAAAATTTATGCCACAAGCCTTGAACTCCCACATACACTGTGATCAACGTGGATCATTGTGTCTTGCATGTAAATCATTATGCAACAACCCTCTACCAATAGGAGTGTGATACACCCTCTGTTCAATTCTACCGAACTATCACTTCTCATTAGGCAATGATCTAGTGCAGGCATTTTTCAGTTGTGCTCACTTCACGTGTTCATTTTTTTTTTTTTTTGCATAGTAGTGATTTACTTTAATTATTCATTTGCTATAGCTGGTTTTCTGTAGTATTTTTCCACAATAACTTACCTTTGGTTATCGATTCTTTTCCCTCCTTTTTGACTTCTTCCCAGTTTAAGATGAATTCTGAAGTTTGTATTATCACTTCTGATATTCATACAAGCTTATCCATGATGAGGAGGATTTTGACAGCCTTTGTCTCCATCTAACTATACTGTGTATTACCATGCTTCTCCTGCAAAATTTGCCAGGTGTAACTCAGCCTTTTTGGATATGATTTCACAGGTGTGTTCTGTTTTATCGATTTCACCAATTTGCTATGAGCATATTTCTTCCTTGTTACATGACACCCTTTCCTTAGAGTACTTTGTCTTCTCTCCTTCTCTTGACATCAGGGTTCATGTTGAGCATTTTGAGAGCTGGTGCTAGCATCCCTTTCCTTCCACGGGCTTCTGATCATTATGCTTTGGCCTTATCATCAGGCTGATCCACCATTGCTCAACTCCCAAAAGTTGGAATCACTTTGGCTAGTGTGTGTGTGGGTGGGGGGCTGATCCTGATAATCATATTCGTTTCTTCCACACCCAATTTTCCTGCCTTCATTTTACCCGTACACCTCTCCTATGGTACTTGTCCACCATACACTTCCATTCCAAGGCACTTCACCAATCCCAAGAGGGGAGGGGATATCTTTTCCCTCATTACCTCCACGTTGGCACAATTGTCTTCCTCAGTCCTATCCCTTCACATGTGGTTCTTATTGGGAGGAATGCTGTCTTGTCACAGGTTTGTCTGCCTTCCAATTAGTGACTTTCAGATGACTCCTTTTCTCCATTGTTCTATTTTTGGAGATATTCCTGATCTTTGGAATCACGTGTGGAATCTGTGAGACAACATTCAACCTTATCATTTTTGGTTTCTTGTGTGTCTAATCCTGATTCTATGCCCTCTCCCATAATTGTTTCTCATCCTGCATCCTTCCACCCTTTACTAGTTCCTATCACTAGAGTTTCAACATGACATCTTGTCCCTTGACTTTGGATTCATTTTGCCATCAGTTCTGATGACTATCAGGTGCTTTCTGGTCCAGTGAGGACATGTTCGGCTGGTTTTGTTCCCATGTGGTGGGAATTCAGTACCAATCCTTGAGTGATCCAGATTTTGTTAGAAGGACTTTTCATCTGTTTCTTTTCCCTGCCCCCATTGTCTCCTTTACTGTTATTCATCCCATTACCTTGGGATCCTGCTACCAGTAAGCATCTATCCAAGACTGTGTAGACTTTTCTATCACAGAGAGCTATTGAGCCTTTCAGCCAGCCTTTCCCAGATTTTTACACCAGGCTTTTTATCATCTCAAGAAAACTGGGGACTGGCATCTTGTGATCAATTTGTCCTCCCTCAACCAATCTTTGGCTCTTCCCCACTTTACCATGGAGTCCTTTTTCACACTGAGGTGTTTTTTTTTCTCCAGGACTGTATATTACTAAGGTAGACGTCTCAAATGCTTATCTCCATATTCCTATTTCTCATTAGTCCGAACACTATTTTTGGTTTGTCCACTATAGGGTTGTGTGTCAGTTTTGTGCCTTGCCAATTGGGCTTGCTTCAGCACTGTATGTATTTTGTGGGGTGTTCAAAGCCTTTGCCTGACTTCCTTATGCTCAAGGGTTGTGTTTACACCAATACATAAATGACTGGCTCCTGTTAGCTCATTCCGAACTGGAGTCTTCTCAACATGTACAGTTGCTACTGACAGAAGCAACTCCTATTGGTTGGATTCTCAAGTTTTGAGAAGTCTTTCCTTGTGCCTACAATATCTTATCCAGTTGGTTGTATTTTTCAACACTCACCTCAGTTGGGCCCAACCTCCTCTGCTTTATCACTGTTTCGATGGAGCTTTCAGTTCCCCTCGCCCTTGCTGCTCCCTCTCTCTCTGCACACAAGGTTCTATCACTTTTGGGGACTTGGGCTTCTGTGGAAGCCCTTATCCCCTTGGGTCAGGCACATATGTGTTCTCTTCAGTTAACTCTGCATGACCAATAGAGTCTTGCTCGGGATCCCTTGGAGTTCCTCATTACCCTTCCATTGCAGATTATCTGCATTGGTGGTTGTACAAGGACAGCAGGAGTACTGCTTCTTCCACCTTGTCCAGATATGTATCTGCTCACAGATGCCTCTCTCCATGGTTAGGAGGTGTGGGTAAATTGGCAGGAGGCCTCTGGACAATGGTCTCCGATAGAAAAGTCTTGGAGATTCTGGTGGTGTATAATGTGATTTGGATCATTTTCTTCCTATTGTACAAAACTGACTCATTATGATCCATTCAGACAATTTCACAGTTGTGGCTTATATCAGTCACCAAGAGAGTAGCCATTCCTCCCTACTAAAAAAATGATGCTTCCTTTTCTGCCAGATTTTGATGTGATAATTTAGTAGAATCAAATATAAGGAGAAACATGCATCAGAGGGTGTATGGCACTCTTATTGGTGGAAGATTTTCGCATGATTATTTACATGCAAGATGCAGTGAACTACGTTGATCGTGGGAGTTCATGGCTTGTGACATCTGAAAACATTTTTTGCATATAGAGGACAGCACTGAATGTGAGCACTATATATGTGAGAGGAGGTAAATACCTATCTGAAATATATTTTCAGTAAAGCAGAATAATAACTTTTGTCCAAGTTCACACAGGCAGGTTCAATTACTTTAAAACACCCTTTGACAAGAAAAATTATTCTCCTCTACTCTTTAAAATCACCATTATAACTGTTGATTATCACAGTTGCATCCAGATCTTTAAATAATTGTCTCCTTTTTGTCAAAGCCCACACAGGTGGGTTCAATTATTCTCCTCTATTTCTGTTATTACAATACAAGTTGGGAAACTCACTTTAGAAATCACCTGTTATGGCTAAACTGGCACACAGTTTAACTTCACATTTACTTTCACCAACTTATCTTGCCATAACTTGGAAAGAGAGATTGAGTGGGCAGCCTAATGCAGTGGGAAATAGGGCAGGAGTGTTCATCTCAGTGTAATGCAGGTCACTCCCTCTTTTTTAATATGCCAATTTCCTGATGGTTTGGCCAGCTGGGTGAGGCAAAGTGTTCTTTGCCTGGAACAGGAATGGATCTTTGTCCCTGTTCCTATATGTACAGTAAGTAAATGATTCAACAGAACACACACCAAAATGTATAGTCTGATCATTGCCCTAGCCACATTATACCTCATGATCAACTGACCTGTTGTGTGGTTGATCATGCACTTTCTGCCCACCCATGTGACACTTTGACTTCCTCTTTTCATACTTCCACCAGGCAAAGAGTACACCCGTCAGGAGGTTGATGTGGTCTCCCATGAGTATTGTCCTTCTATTAAGCTCCCACTATAGGGTTTCCACACTCTATGGGCTTTCCTCTTCAATCACCTTTTTTGAAGGGAGCTCATCTAGGTTTTTGAAATTGCACTGACCCCTCCACCACATTAATGTGGGGTTCTAGCTACTGTGTGCGGAAAGGTAAGTGTATAATTTTCCTGAAAATGTATTTCCGATAGATACTTACCTCTCTGTGCACCTTCTTTCCCACTGCCTGTGCATATTATTCTTACCTCATCTGAGAATGAAATAAATTTCCAGCATAACTGCTTCTGGGGATCTGCTGCGTATAGAGGATGTGTCCCTCTCCTATTGGTGGAAAACTTTTGTCACATGATAATTACATTACACACTAGTGCAGTTCACATTAAAACACATCATAAGTAAGAGGTAACTCAAGGATAGTGGCATGTACAAAATGTTAGAGGCAGATGCATGAGGAATAACTACTGTTTGCAGATAGGTAAGTATCTATTGGAAATACATTTTCAGGTAAGGAAAGTGTTAACTTCTACTTTGCAACATTACAAGTATCAAACTTATTTATGAATGTACTGTCATGGAGCATAAGTGTACAAATACCAGAGTGAAAACTCTTCAACACAGTAAAAGTGTGGTATATTGCTATCTTGATTTGTTTGTTTTTCTTAAGCAAATATTTTTACAAAAATTCATCTATGACTTGTATAAATTACTAAGCTTTACTTCAGTTATATATATATATAATTTGCATATTGGTTATCACTTGTTACCTAAAAACCTGAAAATCTCTGAATTACAAATTTTTTGTAATAAAAACATGAACATGGAAAAAAATCCAAGAGAACACATTTGACATTATCAATCATATTAGTAATGTTTTTCTTATTTCCAGATGAGGTAAAAGTGTATAGTGAAGATTTGTGTTTTCATTTTGCCTCATTAACAATTCTGCAACTTTATTATTGCCAAGTGGAACTAATTTACATCTGAACTTTTCCTTCTAGTTGAAATGTTTTTAACCAAAATACAGAGGTTAAAATCATTTTTGAGCCCCACCATGTCACTATGATCTATATTGTACATCAGTTCATCTCCAGTCTGATGTCTATTAAAAAAAACTTGCCATACTTATAGGTTACTTCAGGAAGATCGTCCATTTTGGTGGGTTTCTGAGGATTCTGATAGCCATGGACTAAATTTGACAATTAGACAGTTTCCTATAACATGTGAAACTGGACCAGGTAAATTGTTGCTGTTTTTGTCTTTATTAGTTTATGAAGTTCATGTCAATTTTCTGAACTAAAATGTTATGCTTTCTTAGATTACACCATTTTTCAACTATAAATATACTACAATAATTCAGGCGAGACCATATTAAACATTTTTTCTTCTAATTCCTGATATTAATTAATTTTTTAAACAAGCCGCATTATGCATTTTTAACATGGTTCCAAGTATTTCACAAAATACATGTACTGTTTTCTATTACATTTGTTTCCATAATAGTCTGTACCATTTGACAGTCCTATTGTTTTACTCTAAACTTCAAAATTAAACTACACCTTAGACCTTTCGTAAAGAAATAAGCAATTTATTATTTACTTAATGTTTAAAATAATGCTCAGTCCTATACATTGTGGATACTAGTTTGTAAATGGTTTAGAATTTACATTCTTGGGATTTCCTAAAAATAAGTTTATTGCTGATATTATTAAAAACAATATGGTAAACTTGTTCTAATTCAATTTTTAAATACTGAAAAATTGTATTTGAAATATTCCAAAAATATATTATACATACAAGTTTCATAAATGAATGCAAGCTTTTAAAGTAATTACCTCAGTTTTTAAATTTTATGGTTTGGGTACCTCAATTTTGTTACTCTAGATAGTATTATAACCATAAATTCTCTAAAGCTGTTAATTCTTTTGTACTTGAATTAGAAAAAAAAGTTTGTAATCAGATTTATAATTGTTAAAAGATGTTGAGAGCTATAACACTAACGTGAGTTCTAATGCTACTAACAGACTGACAAAAATTAGACAAAAGGGACTGATGCGACACCAATTGCAAAAACCATTCAAATTGTGTATAAAATAATATTAACTCCAACTTATTTGGAATATCATGTTTTAAGCCACGCACTAAAACTTTCTTTTCAGTGTTGTTTATAACATACTTTGAATAATGAAAGTGAACTCATCTTGTTATTTTATAAACAGATTTTTACCTTGTTGTTGTTATAAATTGTTTACCTTAACTAATTGTTTTTCTGATATTGTATAAGAATTTTATTATTCTGTGTTCCAAAGAAGAATTTAAAGTGTAAAAAATCTAAATAGAAAAAGTCTTAGGACTGCCATGTTAAAGATATAAATTTCTCTAACCTCAGAATTCAACAGTTCTTTTTGCACCATCAGGCAGAAAATGTGATTTCTTAGTTGCAAAATTTATTAATTTCAAAAATGATGATTTGGAAATCCTCATGTCACCAGAGTTGTTATTAAAAATCAAATTAGCATTTAACTGTATAGTTTCTTCTAAAAGTAATTTGTATACAAAGACTCAACATCAAATATATAGTACAATGAACAACACTTGAATATTTGTACTTCATCAGAAAATCCAAAACTGTCTTTCGAAGTATATTCTTTAGTATTAAAGGTTTTCACAAAATCAAATAAAAACAAGCAACACAAATCATGATTATAAGTTTGACTATTTAAAAATATAGGTCATAACAGACATCTCCCTTATGAGTTGTAGGAAGATTATATATAATTCCTGATTGACAAATTAATAGTCTAATATTTAAATATTATTTCTCATTTAAAATATTATCTTTCTTTAGTTTTAATAAGTATATCTGTAATCTAGTCCCTCTAGTATTAGTGGGATGAAAATGTAACTTATCAAGTTTTGTTGAATCACTTACAATGTTTTCAGCCTTTCTTACACATTCCTTTTTATCCAAAATTACTATACAATATCTTTTACCAGAGTTAAAAATTATAATATTATCAGCTTTCTACACTTGATCGATTCACAAGTCTTAAATTTTAATGTTCCTTTATGTAAGTTAACAGTTTTCTTTTAGTAGGACTAATAAAACCTTGCTGACAACAAGGACATAAATTTATAAACAACATTTGGTGATTTCAGGGAAGGAATATGATCCTTAATACTAAAAATATTCTGTAAGCAATAGTTAGGTTTAAAAATACATCTCTACTGTATTTGAAGATATATCATATGAAGTATAGTTTATAAATGATATTTCATATTTAGAGAATATTTACAAATATATATAATGAAGTTGTAACTAATGGGTATTTAAGAACTTCTTACTTAGATGGTTTACTAAAACTATACTTATTCAAATAGTTATGAAATATTTTATTAGTGGCATGTACAGGAAAACCATGTTTGCATTAGAACTTTCTGATATTATATTCTTTATGCAAGAATTTAAAGTACTGAAATATCATAGACACAATGAAATTAGGTATTAACCAAATTTCTAAAACAAAGTTGGTATAAAGCTTGAAAATTTAAGATATAAGCCAGTAAACGTTTATTCTGTTTTGTTTTTATGGTATACTTTATATTTGAAGTTATCATTATTCTTATGAATAAATGTATCGAAAATGAGAATTTATGACTTTGTTGATGTTCAACAGTGAGTTTCATACTGTTATATTTGCTGCTCAAGTACTTCATAAATTGAGAAACATGATCCAAGTTTCTAAAGATGGTGAAAGTACAACCAACATACCTATGGTAGTATAATGGTTTAAAAAACTGCAGACAGTCTTCCAACCATTACTATTCATGGCAACAGAGAAATAGATTGTCCAAACAGGGAGCATATCTAGAGCTCATAACCACTCCATCAGTCTGATAATAAAGATTGCCTGTGTCAGAATTTAAAAATCTGATCTTTGCCAATTGTCAAAATAAAAAGGTTTTTAGTTATATTTCTTAATAGTATAAATATATACTATGTTGTTGTTGAGCTTAGGATTCTTCTACAGTAGATGTCTGTGACTTGTTAGCAATAAATTCAATGAATAAACAGCATGCACTTCACTTGTTTTCAAAATAATACATATATTCAGAACAAGTTAATGTATGTACAATAAATTCTTCAACACTATAGATATTATGGACATATCATAAATACTCTCCTTCTTGTCAAATATCCACTTAGGCCTATTCAATTACTTTAGAATTTTAGTTGACAAGCTGAACTATCTTCCTTATTTCTATAGCATTAGTATTCTCTGTGATTCACTTACAGTCATGGCGCGAGTTACATTAATCGTTTGGTCTTCTTTCTTTTGAAGATCCTCTGCTCCGTTTGTCAAAGTGCACTCAGGCTGATTCAATTACTTTAGAACCATGCTTTGATGGAATAAAATTATTTTTCTTATCTTCTTTTTTACTGTTAGTTTCACTCTTAACATATTAAACTTTAGGCCTATCACTTCTACAGTAGTTAACTTGACACCAACTATATTCTCTTTTGCTATTATATGTCTGTTTCTGTCTGTCTGCTGCTTCTGCTCATCTCACGCTATTTATATCTTTATAACCTAATCGTCTGTCCACCTTCTATATTTTAGATGTCAATATATTGCATGTGTGACATTCGATATTCTCAACATCAAAGAATTATTTTCAAAACATTCTACAGTCATCTGCTTTTAACTCTTATTATAACAAAAACTAAACAATAAAACATTCACTCACAAAACTAAATTAATCAGTAATATCCAAACTAAACAGTCTTTAATATCATCCCATACTGAAACACACGTACCCTAGGTGAGTGTGATGTAGTCGGTATTTGTTCCCATTTGATCTTCTCAGTTTCTTTAAAAGCCCTTACAGTATACAGTTTTTATTAATGTTTATAACAGGACTTTGGACAAGCCAAGTCATAGTTATGAATTTTTCATTGACCTTGTTTGTTAAATCCTATGGATCACTATCTACTTGGAGGATGAACCTCTGCCCAAAAGATCTTATTCTTAAGGGGATGACATAGTGAATATGAACCTACTTGTACATTTCAGAAGTCAGAGTGCTGTCAGTTTTGTTTGGACCACCAACATCATTGGTTGATATGTAGCCACACTTCTATTGTGCCCCCTAACATGGTTCACTGTAGATTTTGTATCTTGACTGTAATACTGTTCTCCTCTCTACCATTGAACAAAGTATTGTTGATTATTGCCAATTTTACGTATTAGAATTTCAAATGGTCTGAAATTAAGTTAATTGATAATTTAAATTTAGTAGTTAAATTGTACTTTGAATTTAGTATTTAAATATATGCTGATATATAGTCAGTTTATGATATTTGCCAACAGGAATCTAGCTATTTTTGTCCTTTGTTATTTACCAGACACATCCCGAGTTTTCCACGATGAATTTATATAATGTTTTTGTAAAAATACTAATGTCCGATGAAAATCCATTGAAGTTAAATGATTTGTAATGTTCGAACTTTGTAAAGGTTCCTGGTCAAATATCTGAAGTTTTCTGATTGATAAGTGTTATAATAATCAAAGTTATAGCTTCCGAAGTTTATAGCACACTGACAATAGCAAACGAATAATAGATACTCTCTTTTGGTGCATTGCGTTGGTTATATTTATAGGCGTGTAGAGGCTTTCTAGAAAAATTCAGGTTACGTAACAATACAAATTTAAATGGTGTTTTTAAGTGTTTTTACACTCACAAAAAAGAAACCTATCTTTCTATTAGTATTTGAAGAACTTGTAGGATTTTGCCACAATTTAATTCTTCGTATTGTTAACTGACACTGGGCAGCTGGTACATAATTGAATAAAATTGTTTAAACATTTGTTTAACAACAAGTAAAAGCTTGGAATGGTCTATTCTTTCATTGGGGGTGTGTGTCTGTGAGCCAGACTAGTTTCGGAGAATTCCACTCCTCATCAGTGACCCTGGACACTATCACCAATGTTGTTAAACAAATGTTTAAACAACCCTCCTCCAACTATGCTCAAATCATTGCTTCAGTTTTGATACCCATTTCTGTTTTTTTATTTGATTTTCTCTCCTATGAAGTAATTTTGAGCAGCCACACACCCACTGAATCTACTTCATACTAATGTGTTTCTTAATGTTCTGGAGGTAACCTTTACATCTATACTTACAGCTAGGTCACTGGCAAGATCTCTACTGGATTGTCATGCATCATGTAAAGAATATACTCTGAAATCTGTAACATCACTTTCACCAATTAACACTTTGATTTCTACACCTTTATTATGTGGTATTTCAGTCCTGGAAGTCATGAATGTATTTAATCACCACGTTACAGATGAGAATAGTATGACTTTCTATACCTTTAAAGACTGCCGATATGGCAGTCTGGTTGATTGGATGACAGCCAGCCATAAGG